AGGGAGGCGATGGAGCTTGCGAAGCTGCTAGCCTCCCATGGCTGAGTCTCGGCTTCGTCTTCCCGGGGCTCCCCTGCCCCCTACTCTGCTCATCTACAAGCTTCCAGGTGGGGCCTCTGCATCGAGCCCCGTGCAGTCAGCTCAGAGCTGCCCCACATTCAGATCTTATGGGCCTTGGGCACTGGCTGCACTTGGCGATAACAACACCGGCTTCTCCCCCTTGCTCCCACCCTTCCCACTCATCCGGGTGTTGGTTAAAATTTATTGCCCTGGCTGGTTTGGCTCAGTGGATAGAGCGTTGGTCTGCAGACTGAAGGGTCCTGGGTTCAATTCTGGTCAAGGGCACATACCTGGGTTGTGAGCTCAATCCCTGGTTGGAGGTGTGCAGGAGGCAGCCGATCTGATTCTTTCTTTTTTTTATTCTATTCTTTCATCATTGATGTTTCTATCTCTCTCTTCTCTCCCTTTTTCTCTGAAATCAATAAAAAAACATATATTAAAAAAAATTATTCAGGTTTACTTTTTTCTCTTTTCCCTTCTCATTTCCTGTAGAAATTAATACTCTCGGAGACGACCATATTTGACGTCCTGCCCACTTTCTTCTATCACGTCAACAAGGTGGTTTGCATGGCGTCCTTGGAGGTAAGTGGGAGAGGCCCCTAGGACCGCACAGTACCGCACGGGCCACTTCTAGCATCCACACACCTGACTCCGGCCCACACACCTTGCAGGCATGATCTTATTCTACTGATGAGGTAGTACCGTTACTATTCCCATTTTACAGAGGAGAAAACTGAGGCTCAGAGAGGTGAAGCAACTTGCTTGAAGTCACACAGCAAGGAAGTGGCAGAACGAGGGTTCACACTAGATCTGCCCTTGTCCAGAGTCCTTGCTGGCAACCCCTGCTATCTCGTGTGCCATTCCTGCCGCCTCCTCGCAGGGCACAGTTAAACTCGGCATCCAGGCTTTTACTGGGGGCACCGTCTGGCTAGCACACGCCAGCATTCTAAACTCCCAGAATGAAAGCACATGTTGAACATAAATCATAGAGTTTGCACACTTTAGGCTACATAAACCATTTGTATCAGTCATAGTGGGAAATTTCCCCAAATCCAAACTCCAGATGCAACCAATAATTTTTCATATTGATTACCTGTTGAAATAATGATATTTTAGGTGTTAGGGATGAAATAAAGTTATTAAAATTCTATTTACCTGATACCTTTTTTTTAAGTGGTTTAAAATTGCATATGTGGCTTGTGTTCCATTTCTATTGGACAGGACTAACCTAGAGCAGGAGTTGGTCAGCTGTAGCCTGTGGGCCACATTCGGCCCCCTGCTTGTTTTTATAAATAAAATTTTATTGGAACTTACATATTGTCTGTGACAGCATGGAATTAAGTAGTTGTGATACAGATGATATATCCCCTACAGCCTAAAATATATACTGTCCAGCCCTTTGCAGAGAAAGTAACGGTACGCAGTGTTCGGGGAGCAGAGGCCTGGGGTGTCTCTACAACTGAGCCTGCCCCTCCCCAGGCATCCAGGCCTGGGACCCTCCCTTAGAAACTGGCGCTGAGAGTGTTCATTCCGTTTGGCTGAGTTCACTACTTTGGATTTCCCTGGGGACCCTATTGGGACTACACTCCTGTGCGTGCTTCATTCATTCATTCATTCATTCATTCATTCACTTGTTGAGCTCTTAGTCCTCAGCCCTGGCGCTGACCTCAGTCCCCTCCCCCTCCGATTGGATGCCCCCTTTGGGGAGAGCTCCGATGCTGGCTCACCGAAGTTTCCAGGGCAGGAGCAGCTCGTGGGGCCAGATCCGCAGCAGTGGCCTCACCCCCACCGGCCGTCCCCCTGCAGGATAGCCGTGCCCGTGAGCATCACTAATCCCGACCTGCTGAGACACAGCACCGAGCTCTACATGGACAGTGGCTTCTCCCCCCTGTGCCAGCGGATGGGCGCCATGGTCGCCTTCAGGAGATTCGAGGAGTTCACCAGGTACCCAGAGTGCCTTCCCAGCACCCCGCGGAGAGTCATCGAGTGAGCTGCCTCTGACTCCCCTCTGTTCATGTGACACATGGGGTGGGGGCGGCCCAGACATATCGCACAACAAATGAATAATCTCAGCTTAATAATATTGTAGCCAAGAGTGTGGGCTTTCGTGTCAGCCCGCCTGCGTGCGAGTTCTGGCTCTGTGCTTCCTAACTGTGAGACTCGAAGCTAACTACTTGACCTTTTTTGTGCCTCAGTTTTCTCATCTGTATAATGGGAATAAGCAAAGGAACTACTTCATAGGGTCACCAGAAAAATTAAGTGAAATAGTTCATTTTAATATTGTATTTAAAGTATCATTGATATGTAAATAACAGTGAATGTCAGTGATCAGTCCTACTAAAATTAGTGCCCCCTTTTTAACCCTTTCCTGCGTGTTACGCATTGTGCTTGGGTCATGTTGTGTCTTCACTACAGTGCTAGGAGCGGTAGTGATTACTCCTGTTGTCCTCAGTTGACTCAGAGATGTGGGTGAATCATGAGGGCCTCCTAGCTGGTAAAAGGAGGGCCCAGCTGACGCCCCAGAGTTCAGACAGCCTTTCTTTTATTCGTGATCTCAGATCACATGGGCTCATTCTTTCCTCTTGGGAAAGACCCGGTCCCTGATGCCTTGGTCCTGGTCAGGAACAGAATGAGCTCGCAGAGTGGTGGCTGGGAGAAGGGAGGACTCGGGCCTGACCCACGGCCGAGGCGGAGCGAGCCCTCAGCCCTCCCTCTCTGTCCCGCGTCCCCAGGAACTTCGATGATGTCATCTCCTGCTTCGCCAACGTGCCCCGGGACACCCCCCTCTTCAGCAAGGCCCAAACCTCCGTGTACTGTGAGGAGGACTGCAAGGTACGTGCCTGAGCAGGAGCAGGTGGGGGAGGGGCGGGCAGGGCCCGGGTCCTTTACACCGTTGCCTTGTTCCCGCCTAGAACTTACGCGAAGAGCCCATCCACATCCTGAACGTGGCCATCCAGTGCGCCGAGCACCTGGAGGATGAGGAGCTGGTGCCGATCTTGCGGACCTTCGTGCAGTCCAAGGTGCCCGCGTGTGCCTCTGGTTCTGGGTCCCGGGGGAGGAGGACGGCTGTCTTCAGGAGGTGTCCCGTGCGCCCGGGACCTGCTGAGTGTTTCAGAGCCACAGAGCTGGCTTCTCACCCGAGCACTGCCACTCCCCATGGCCATGACCGTGGGCAGCGGTGGCCCAACGAGGCAGAGTCTTGGCTTCTTCCCCATAACACGGGGGTGGCGTTTCTCTCTCCCAGGGTTGTAATGATGAAATGACAGAGTCTGGACACTTAGGCTGTGCAGTGATGAAATGGCAGGGTTTATACACCACTCAGCACAGAAACACATTCAGTATATAGTTCTGGGTTTGGTGGAATGTGTGTTGGGAGAGCCCAGAAAAGTCACCGTCTTGAAATGGTCACTGGCATTGACATCCGTGTACGCAGGTAACCGCAGGCTGCTTTTATAAACGCGGTGGCCATTGCCAGTCTCACCCTGGCAAGAGGGCCACCTGTTTAGTATGCTCAAGGGCCTCAGCTGCAAACACATGTGGAGCAGCTTGGCAGGTGTAGGTCGAAGAAACAGCAGGAAGGTGCTGGGTGACCTCAGGCAGGTTACTCTACCTCTCTGATCCGTAGTTTCCCCATCTGGGACGCTAAGATTCTTAGCTCATATATAATCACATCTGCCAGCCACGCTGTCTGGCTGTTAGTTCTTGACCCTCCTGGCTCAGTGGTAACTGTGTGTGTTGTGTTCCCCATATTATCCTGATGGCCTGGACTTGAGGTCCCCCAGAGGACCTGGCGTGGTGCTGAGTCATGGATCGTGCCGTGAATGTCAGTGATGTACTTAGTCTTTGCTTGGTCAGTCAATAGCTGGTGGTGTTCATTATACAACATGTTTAAGGTGCAGACAAATCAGAAAAGTAGGTTTTAAAACAAAGCCCACGGCCTCACCGTCCAGAGGCAGCCACTGTAAAGTATTGGCATATTTCCCCCGGCCTGTTTCTTCTTCTTTTTGACAGAACATTATCAGTAGGTTTTCTTTAAAATATGTTTTTATTGATTTTTGAGAGAGGGGAAGAGAGAGAGAAACATCGATTGGTTGTTTCCTGCATGCACCCCAACCAGGGAAGGAACCCACTACCTGGGCATGTGGACCAGGAATCAAACTGGCGACCTGCCAACGTCATGAAAGATTTCATGACATGTTAAAAAGTCTGTATGTTTTAATATGACATTGAATAAAATTCACAGAGCACACTATTCTCCCATTTAAAGTGTACCAGTGCTTCCTGGTATATTCATAGAGTTGTGTAAACATTATTATAATATATTTTCACCCCCTCGCCCCCCCAAAAAACCCTCTACCCTTTCGCAGTCACTCCCCATTTTTCTCCAACCCGGTGCCCTCCTCCTCTGTCCCAGGCAACCGCTCATCTACTGTCCGACTACGGGTTTGCCTGTTCTGGACATTTCATATAAACGGCATCAGATAGTCTGAGGTCTTTTGTGACTGGCACCTTCCTCAGCATAATGCTTTCAAGGCCAGTCCACGTGGTAACACGTATCAGGACTTCATCCCATGTTGTGGCTGATACCATTCCATTGTGTGTTTGGTTTTCAACGCAGAAAAACATCCTTGTGGATTACGGGCTCCGTCTGCGTGTCCTTTCTTCACTGAGTTAAGGAATTTTTCTGTCATTTTTTCCAAATACATTTTCAATCTCTTGCTTTCTCTTCTTCTTCTAGTACCTCTGTGATGCCAATGTTGGTACACTTAATGTTGACCCAGAGGTCCCTTAAACTATGCTCATTTTAAAAAAATTGATTTTAGAGAGATATAGGTAGAGAGGGGGAGAGGGAAACATTGATTTTGTTATTCCACTTATTTTTTTAATATATATTTTTATTGATTTGATTTTTGAGAGAGGGGAAGAGAGAGAGAAACATCGATTGGTTGTTTCCTGCATGCACCCCAACCAGGGAAGGAACCCACTACCTGGGCATGTGGACCAGGAATCAAACTGGCGACCTGCCAACGTCATGAAAGATTTCATGACATGTTAAAAAGTTTGTATGTTTTAATATAACATTGAATATAATTCACATAGCACACTATTCTCCCATTTAAAGTGTACCAATGCTTCCTGGTATAATAATACATTATTATAATATATTTTCACCCCCTCACCCCCCCCCCCCAAAACCCCTCTCCTCTTCCCCGTCACTCTTTTTTTCTACTCTTCGCAGTCACTCCCCATTTTTCTCCAACCCGGTGCCCTCCTCCTCTGTCCCAGGCAACCACTCATCTACTGTCCGACTACGGGTTTGCCTGTTCTGGACATTTCATATAAATGGCATCAGACAGTCTGAGGTCTTTTGTGACTGGCACCTTCCTCAGCATAATGCTTTCAAGGCCAGTCCACGTGGTAACACGTATCAGGACTTCATCCCATGTTGTGGCTGATACCATTCCATTGTGTGTTTGGTTTTCAACGCAGAAAAACATCCTTGTGGATTACGGGCTCCGAAGAATCACGTTCCTGATCGCCCAGGAGGTCAGTCGACACTCGGTGCTCCGTTTGCGTCTCCTCCCTTCTCCAAGACCCAGAGCCGTTCACTTGACGTTTACACTGCAGATTAGGGTGGAAGAGGTGGAGGGCTAGGGAGGACGGCTTTCCAAACGATTTATCCTAGAAGCAGATGGGGTCATCGTTAAGAACAGGCACACGCGTGTTGACACGCATCCTGCTGGATTTAATGGTCTTCTGTGTGGATTTCTCTTTTGCAGAAAGAATTTCCCAAGTTTTTCACCTTCAGAGCAAGAGATGAGGTATGACCAAAAGCAATGATACTGTTCTCTCCTCCCCGGCATCTTTGATTTTTCAGGAAGACCATCCCAGTCCTTAAGATATCCCCGTGCTCTAGAACATGGCAACTTCCATGCAGACTCCCCACTTCCTCTGGGGTATTTCCCAGGAGAGCCCCGAATTTCCATGTGGAGCTCAGACCTTGCGCCTCCCACCCTTCAGCCTTCATTGCAGCTGTCCCTCTGTCATGGGGACAATTTTTGGACTTGCTGGTGGACTCAGAAAGATGGTCCTCCCAACCTATTTTTTTTCTCTTTTTTTTTTTTATCCTTGATTTTTAGAGAGAGTGAAAGAGAGCGGGAAAGACAGAGAGAAACATCGATGTGAGAGAGAAACATCAATTGGTTGCCTCCCGTACCAGCCCCAACCAAGGCCCAGGCCGGGGAGGAGCCTGCCCCCGAGGCATATGCCTTTGACCGGAATCGAACCCGAGACCCCTCGGTCCACAGGCCAACACTCAACCACTGAGTCACGCCGTCCAGGCTCTAGTTTCAAGCACTATCCGTTGCTTTCTTTTGACGACGAATTTCCATAAGGAAACCAAGGGCCAGTGACTTTTTGAGAAATACCCTGTCCTATGCCAGAGAGGGATCTGCCTGGCTGTGTGGGCAGGTGCTGGGAACCAGCTGGGCTCACCCGAGAGCCTCCTGCCCGCACGCCAGCCTGGCATGTCGTCTGGATCTCTGCAAAGTCCCAGCCCTCTTGAGCCCAGGGGTTGCTCACAATTATGACATAATGACCATACATTTCGAGGGCTAAACCCGCAGACACCGGGGGTCTGCAGGACGGTGTGGACCAAGCAGGGTCACGGTCCAGCATCCAACTGGGTGTCTGTCTGTCCGTCCTCTCTCCGTCGGCCTGCAGTTTGCAGAAGATCGCATTTACCGTCACCTGGAGCCCGCCCTGGCCTTCCAGCTGGAGCTCAGCCGGATGCGCAATTTCGACGTGACGGCCGTGCCCTGCGCCAACCACAAGATGCACCTATACCTGGGCGCTGCCAAGGTCAAGGAGGGCGGGGAGGTGACCGACTACAGGTTCTTCATCCGCGCCATCATCAGGCACTCGGACCTGATTACCAAGGTAACGTGTCTCGGGGTGTTTCTTTCTTCCCCTGAGCTTGTCACGCAGGCGCTGGCCCTCCCTCTGCTGTCCTGCTCTGTGCCGGGCCCTGGGCCGCATGGGGGATCGCAGGGTGCCCTGGGCACACACAGCCCGGCCCCTGGGACACCCCAGCCGGGCGGCGGCAGGTGGACACTGGTGGCCTATGGATTTATTTCTTCGGTAACGTGGTCTCTGCACGAGAAGAGAATTGTGGGCATAGAAAGAAGACAGGGCTTTGTTAAGTGATGCTTGCTGGCTGAGTATGTGGTCTTTTTTTTTTTCCATTTAGAAAAGTTACCCATGATTATGTTGTGAAAATTTCAAACAATTTTCAAAACTGCTTTTAAAAATAAAAAAAAAGGGCCCAGAATCCTGGCACTCGGGCCGGCCTTGTAGGTGACCCTCTCTAGACGTATACGTCCATACCTAGCGCCATGCGTAACCTTTCCAGGCAGCTCAGGCGGACAGGTCGTTAGAAGAGTGTTGCTTTTTTACTGGTCAGGGACTTACAGACCTCCTTCCATGTTAATGAGGATGACCCACTCCATGCGGGTGCCTTGCGTGGATGTACCCGTGTGTGTAACTTTTTTTACTGATCCCCCGTTGATGGATGTTGAGCTAATCTCTGATTTGCTGCCTCGGTCAAGTAGATGTTTGCATCGGTTTTATTATTGCTGAGGTGCAGTGAGGCCAGCAGATCAGGGGACAGTTGCCATTGGGAAGAGTGTTACTCACAGTGCCTAGGAGGGGGGCTCGCCAGGCCGTGGAGGGCCA